ATCATATATCATATATCATATATCATATATCGTAGGATTCCAGCAGCCATGGGGCCAGGTTTAACCCTGAGGACTTTTGGGACACCAAGTCGAGTGAGAAGGACACACTTATTTGGGGCATCTACCCCGACACTGATGGGACCAGGCCCAAAGCATCCCCAGGGGATGGAAGCAGCAAAGGGAGCCCTGCAGGTTGCATCCTCATCCCTTGGGGGTTGCCATGCCCAGAGAGGGCCTGGACCGCTGCTGGCTCAGCAAATGGGATGCAGCACGAAGGATGCTGAGGGTGCGATCCGCTCACCTTGGGTGACTTTGTCAATGGCGACGTGAAAACGCAGCACGGCAGGGCCCAGCATGAAGGTCATCCCTGACCCGATGACGGTGACAGAGAACAAGATGCCTGCAGAGGGGCGAGAACAGAGAGAGGCTCAGTCCTGCACCAAGGGAACACGGGGGACAGGAGGTGCCTCAAGGCAGGACCAAGGTCCACATCTGCCACCAGTTCAGGCTATTGCCCTGGCAGCTTTCTTCTCTCCTGTTGTTCCAAGGAGAACAACCCCATGCTTCCTTCACAGAAATGGTTTGGCAAAACTCAGATCTTCCTGCCACTTTTCTGCAGCCGCCTTCAAAGGTGGAAATACACCCAGGAACAAGACGTGCCCTTTGTCATAACAAACCCAGGAAATGCAAAGGTGGGAGTTTTTTACAGGACTGAGGAGATAAAAGTTATCAGCAAACTCTCCTAGGTGAATTGGTGAATTACTGATTACAAAGAAGAAACACATTAAAAAAGACCCAAACAAAACACTCCTGTCTTACATGGTGCAGAGGTTTGGAGCTTCTACCAGAGCAAATTTGGATAGAGTACTGTCCAGTTTCTGGACAGTAATGGCCTTTATTTGGGCCACCCAATCAGGTCAAAAGGGCGTCACAGATCACAGCCAGAAAAGGGCTAGAAAGGACCTGCCAGGACCACCTTGTCAATCCCACCACCCTGGGACAACCCTTCTAGGTGTGTGCCCAAGCTCTTCTCCAGCATGGCCTCCACTAAAGGATACTTGTCCACCTCCCACATGTTGATCCTGCATTTTTTTAGCTTCCTATACTTTTCCCTGCTTCTAAACAAAGTCTTCATTGTTGCATCTTAAGCCCACAGCTGCCTCTTGTGAACACAGAGATCAGATTATTCTTCTCTTCCTTGTTGAAGACTTTTTGGAAGAGGACACAGTTATTATGCCTCTCTCTGGCTTATCACTCCCAGGCCAAAAATCTCCCCTCAAATCATGGTTTCCAGCACTCCTGCTCTGTCCGCAGCTTGGCCAAGCTTGAAGCAGTTACAAACTAATTTCTGCAGAGACCTTCCTAGCGCTGGGTAGAGCAGGACTAGAGCAAGCTCTGCTCTCGTTAATGTCAATTAGTACTGCCTGCTGGTACTTAATGATCACCAAATCATTACGGTTGGAAGAGACCTCTAAGATCACCAAGTCCAACCGTCCACCCAACCCCAACATGGCCACTAAACCACGTCCCCAAGTGCCACATCCACCACTATTAACATCATTCTGGTTTCTCCTCTTTCCACAGCCTTACCCAAGTACAGGGGCGAGTTCCTCTCGCTGGCGAAGTCATCAATGTAGGAGATCCCAAAGGGCTGAATGGGGACGCCGCCGATGCCCAGCAGCACCTGGGCAATGAACATGACCAGGAGAACCTCGTGGTTCTCCTTGGCTGCATGAGGGGTGCAGGCAGCGGCGCTGAGGTTCCCCCGAGACTCCAGCGGCCCGGGCTGGCACAAGTCGGTGGTGTTGCTGGACATGCCTGCAATGAGAATGGGAGCAGGGCTAAGGAGGTCGGTCTGGAGAAAGAGCTTCCTAAGATGGCAACAAGCACGTAGATATGCACTCAGGTGTCAGGTGGAAGAAAAACGCAAAGAAAGTGCAAAAATTACTCTGTAGATGTTGGCAGCGAGGCAGATGCACGTGCCACAAAAAGCCACTTCCATGGAAGAAGCAGAGATGAGCTCCAGGACCCCTGATAAATCTTGGAATAAAGAGAAGTGAGCAAAACTGCAAGGTTTTGTGAACAGCTGCTAAGGAAAGGAGAACTCCTTTTACCCTGAAATGGTTTACAAAGCTGCTGATTCCAGCACCCTCATCTTCCTTAAAATACTGAGGGAGGGGGGTGTTTACTACAGGATTTCCAAGGTTATGCCCCAAATCACAGTTGCTTGGCACGAGGCCACCTGCACTCCTGAAATGCATGGCTAATTGTTTCCAAACCGTCGTTAGCATCCGACCCCTGTTTGCATCCATGAATTATTCACCTATTAAGTCTTCCTTTGGTGGCTGCAGCTGCGTGAACCAGCTGCGCTCCCTCTAAAATCTGCTTAGTGGAGGTTTCTAAAAGGATTTTCCCGGAGATCTGTGGGAGGATTTGGGAAGGTAATGAGAGAATGGTTTTCTCCTTTCTTTCTTTTCTCATCCTTTCACCTTTTCTCAGGGAAAAATCCCAAATTCACCCTGACCTGCTCCACCATGAGTGGTTTACACTTACATGTTTCTTCCACAAGAAGATGATTCTTCTGGTGGTGTCTAAAATCTCAAAGCCTTCCCTTCAAAGACAGAAAGAGAGGTGAGGTGTCCCACAAGCAGGAGAATTTAGGTGTGCGACCAATGCTGCCTCACTGCAGACAACAGTGTTTCACCCACAAGGCTGCCCCGTTGGGTTGAGTCAAGCACCTTCCCATACCTCTTGTTTCCTTCCCATAAAGGGCTTCAGAGTTCACGAGACCTTATCTTATCTATGTTAGGAAAATAAGGAAGCAGTTCACGTGCATGAGAACAACTTGCCTCAACTCGCAGCAGATGAGAGCTCCAGCGGTTGGATAATTGCAGAACTATTAAGGTTTTAAGAGACCTCTAAGACCATTAAGTCCAACCATCAACCCAACCCCACCATGCCCACTAAACCATGTCCCCAGGTGCCACATCCAGGCACTTCTTGAACCCCTCCAGGGATGGGGACTCCACCACCTCCCTGGGCAGCCCCTTCCAGTGCTTGGTCACTCTTTCAGTGAATAAATTTTTCCCAATATCCAATGTAAACCTCTCCTGGCACAACTTGAAGCCATTTCCTCTCATTCTATTGCTTGTTACTTGGAAGAAGAGATCAACTTCCAATTGAGCAATTCCTTAAAGACAAACCTACAGCTCACAGCTCCTGAAGGGGAGGTCATTCCCTTCATCTGTCCCAAAAGGCATAAAATAAGTTCCCAGAGTACCTACTGGCAACAGACTTGTCAAACTCGTAGGGCCCGGTTATGAAGTGGGGGAGAGCCATGAGGAACCCAGCCAAGGAGACGAGGATGGCACCACAGCCGATGAGACGGGGTCTGTGCACTCGGCTCCCAAAGTAGCTGATGAAGACGATCAGCAACGTGTTCCCAACCTGCAGCAGGACACACAGACCAAGAGGTCACACGAGGGAAGGGCAGGAGCATGGGGAGAGCATTTGCCAGGTAGACAAGGAGAAGCAAGCTGGTTTTCACCTCATTGAAGGATGCCAGCAGCCCTGATGTCAGGCTGGAGAGGCCGTATCGTCTCTCGATGGTTGAGATGGAGCTCTTCAGATAGCTGGAGACCAGGAGCTGGGAGAGCTGCAGGAGCCCATGGCAGAAAACGAAGAACTGCCAACACAAAAAAGAGAGCATCCAGCACCATTACTGCAAGGTAACGAACAGCATCTCCTACACAAAAGCATGGTTATTGAACAAAATCCTTTGGCTGTGAGCCTCTGAAACACACCCCCTGCTTCTGTAATCAGTAGTCTCCTGAAATTAGGTCAGGGCCATTAAATAGCCCGCTGCCAAAAATGACCATAGGGTTAAGCCCTTGCAAGGAGAGCGTAGTTTCTTCAGCA